AAATAAATAAAATATTTTAATAAAAAAAAAAAATAAAAAAATAAAGAAGGCACTCAATAAGACTTTTGTTTTGATGAGAAAATAAGGAGGAAATGGTTGAAATTTGCAAAGCGTACGCACACTCATTTCTACCACATGTATATGCATGTGGGTAGATAGTTACTATATGTGTGTGTTATGTAGATAATTTAAGCTCCTTATGCCATAAATCATAATTTAAATAGTACAAACTGCTTAACTATAGAAATATAGAACAGTCTATACCATACATACGACCCCCTTCTTCACGCCTTAAAGAACTTAACAATGCTTCACTTTTATAAACCACAAACACCATATAATAAGTGATCTTATCTTATATCAAACATTCTATTACTACTAAGACAACCTTACATTCGCACAGCAAAACATCCTTCTGAGTTGATATTCCTGCTGTACACATAAAGCCACTTATGAAAGACCTCAGCATTTCTCACTTTTTATTTCATGACAAACACCCAAGGTTAAATTTTTCCAAAGTTATATTACTTAAGAAATATATGCTACAAAGTAATTATCTTCTCAGAACATATGTAAGTATATAAGTATAATATAAGTATAAGCATAAGTATACTTGCAAAAGTATACAAAGTAAATGGTTTGATAAAAATCCCAACCAGTAAAAAATGCTTACTAGTTTGTGGAACGAAGCAGAGTTGCTGGGTTTAACTTTCAAACTGAGCTAAATTTTCGTAGTAATCATGTTATTTTCTTTGGCTAAATTTATTGAAAATACTTTGGAATTTGTCAGAAACCAGCCATAATTATTACTGACTGTTGTATGGAATCAATTTACTACAACACAAAAATACCAGCTGTTACAGTATGTCCTGAGAGGGATTACCGAATATTCTTAAATTGAAGTTCAATCCATCTTTCCATAAAAAGAGAGAGACCCAAACGCCAGGAACCCAGCAGCGGTATCAAGTGCACCTGAAACATTTACAATACCCAATAGAACTATTACAACCCGCCTTTTAAAAAGGCTTATTTTTGAAATTTCATTATTCCAGTCGTACCTTGCTTCTATATATCACACAGTATCAGGTTCTTCTGGCATTGATCATGTGGAAACAGTGAAATATGTGAAGGTCTACGAGCTTACAACGTTCAGTTTCTACTGGCCCTGGGTAACCCCCTTAGGGCTCCCGTGGCACTCATGACATCTAATGGTCAACCGCGGAAGTGCAAGTGTTTGTCGCCGGAAGCTTTTTTTGGTTTTTTGAGTTTTCGGTAAAGCAAAAATTGTCTTATTGCACCCAGAGAAATGATCATCTGCAGAAATTTTCATTAATATGCACACACAACTATTAAGAAACATACACTCCCCCTGGGTGCCTCCCATCCCTCTCACTACTTCACTGTAACACCGCTTCTGACACCAACTGTGATTTTCCACACACCAAGCAATCCTGCAACACGAGCTGAGTGTCCTGCAATTTGAGTCAATTCTGGCACTCTCCACCTGGAGACAGCATCCCCTCCCACAAGTTAAGGGCACAGTCCCACAAGATTGCCCACGCCCCCATGTCCATCGCAAGTTCAGGCGGTCACCTGTTCTTCTGATAATTCACTATAAATCAGACGTTCCCACAAACCCCTGCTTGGTTTTTATTAATTTGCTAGAGCCACTCAAAGAACTCAGGAAAACATTTACGGACTAGACCACCGGTTTATTATAAAAAGATACAACTCCGGAACAGCCAGATGGAAGAGATGCACAGGGCTCCCATGCCCTCTCCCTCTCTGGGTGCCCGACTCCCCGCCCCCGCCCCCGCCCCCTCCACGTTCACCAACCCAGAAGCACTCTGAACTCTGTCCTTTCAGGTTTTTATGGAGACTTCATTATATAGGCACGAGTGATTCAATCCCTGACCAGTGGTGACTGATGCTGCCCTTAGCCCCCCGCACATCTCCAGAGGTAGGACGGCAAATTCCAACTCTCTAATCAAGGCTGGTCCACGGGCAACCAGCCTCCACTCTCAGGAGCTTTACAAAAGGCACTGTGTTACCATAATCTCAGGTGTGGCTGAAAGGGGCACATTATCAGTAACAAGGTAACCTTTATCACTCTTATCACCTAGGGCTTTATTAGGAGCTCTGTGCCAAAAATGGGAGGCAAAACCAAATATGTCTTTCTTATCATAAAGCACAACACGACACCTAACCACAAAGTTTAAGCAGATGAACAAGAAATAAAATGCTGGAACTAGTTTCCAAACACTTTTCCTCTCACAGAGTATGCAAGAACATGAAAACATTTTTAGATTTTATTTATGTATTTATTTTACAGAGAGAGAGAGAGAACGGGAGCAGGGGGAGAAGCAGGGGGAGGAGAGAATCTCAAGCAGACTCCACGCTGAGCACAGAGCCCAATGTGGGGCTCAATCTCATGACCCTGAGATCATGACCTGAGCTGAAATCAAGAGTTGGATGCTTAACCAACTGAGCCACCTGGGTGCCCCAACTTTTAATTAGCTCATCGTAAGTATTTAAAAATCCTATTAATATCCTACCGTTTCAGGAGACAGTAACTGTACCCAGTAATCCAACTGCAGGTTACTTCACCAAGTTACCAATATTCTAAGTTATGCTTTCAAAATCGGATAGAGCAATAAAATAATACAAAGAGGAAACTTTTTCTAAAAAAATTTATGATCCCAGGGTCCTGGCATGGAGTCCCGCATCAGGCTCCTTGCTCAGCGGGGAGCCTGCTTCTCCCTCTGCCTGCCGCTCCTCCTGCTTGTGCTCTCTCTGACAAATAAAGTCTTAAAAAAAATTGTATCAGATTTTTTTAAAAGCTCGATTTGAAAGATTTATTATATATTAGCCAATGCAAGCAGCAAACCGGTATCGGTTAACATTATTGAAAACTTCATAAATTAGAACTGTAAGACAATAAAGGAGGCAACACATAGCTAGGTGGCATAAATCTGCTTATCTAAAATGGTAGTTATACCATTTACACCAGCAGTTCTTGAGTGTGGTCTGCAGACCCCCAGTGGTCTCCCAAGACCCTCTC